TGATTCCTTTTCTTTGGATTTGGCTTGTCGTCTATTTTGTTGTAATTTATGTTATTTGTCTCTGATATTTTATAAACTCCTCCCGATCTGTCTAGATTTATTTTTAATTAATATTAGTTTAAATTATAGGTTAAATGATATATCATTCTTTGTTAAATAAATGTTCTAATAATCATAATATTATAAATAACATTTTCCCCCAAAATAATAAATAAATTTATTTTACCTGTTTTATAAAAACTCGCAGGTTCCGGTAAAACTATTTAGATATTATTATGTATTTTTTAAAAAAATTAATATTATAATAATTTTATTAGAATATTTCAATATTATTAATTAACGAAAAGATTTATAAAAAAAAACTCCCATGTTTTCTTGGTTATATTATTAATAAATGAAAATAATTTCATTCTTTCTTGCATTATAATAATTAAAGAAATAATGCCTCACAAGTACATTAATTATGTACAACTATTATCTGAACATGCAGATAAGTGGCAAAAATATTGCATATGTACCTCTTGCAAAGAGAAGCTAGGTTATAATACAGCTTTATTAAACAAGATTCCTAATAAGAGTGAGAGAATTAGTGCGCATTTAAAGAAATGTTCAAATTTTAAAATTATGCATCCTGAAAAATACAATGAATTTTTTGGATCAGATGAAACCATTAATTTAAATAGCAGAGATCTTGAACAAAGTAATGAATTTTTTATTTCATTTGTATTTGTTATAAATTATTACATGCATTTAATTTATATTAAAAATTTTCTATAGTCTCTTCATCAAATTCATCTATTTCAACCAAAGGCTCACTTGACTCTTTTGTTGTTCGTCCTATGTCAAAAAACAATGTATCAATATTTGAAAAACTATTAATTAGAGCTACTGTTTCTGCTGGCTGGTCTTTGCAGAGTGTAGAAAATAAGGAAGTGAATGAGTTGTTTTCTTTTATTAACCCCACAATAAAACTACCAGGTCGACGAGCTCTTGGTGGGCGTATCCTAAACAATGAAGTCAAAAGTCTTGAATTACAATTAGAAAATAAAATTAAAAATGATCCTGTTGGTGTTACTTTGTGTTTTGATGGTTGGACCAATGTAATAAACCAAAATATATTTGGTTCTGTATTTATAACTTCAGAAGGAGAGGTGCTAATATGGGAAGGAGATGACATTAGTGGTGAATTTGATAGGTGGAGAGAAGTATATAACAAAGCTGAAATAATGATTGAGAAAGTTTTTAATATGGGAGCTAATCTGATTTCTATTGTGTCTGATAGTGCACCAAGTTATGCAGCTGCTAGGTGAATATATATATTTTTTTAATAATATTTGTAATAATATTTATAGATTTTATGAGAATTTCTTTTGATGTTTAATAATGGCTTTATAGACGTTGGCTTCAAGTTAAACATGTACAAATTACTTTTTTGCCATGTTATGCTCACCAAATGAATCTTTTTGTGGGAGAAATTTTTAAAGAATCAGTTGAGTTTAAGGCAACTTCCACAGATGCAATAAAAGTTGCACTATATTTTAAATCATCACTTAATAAATATTTTATTGGAAAATTACGTTCAATACAAAAAGACACATATGGTAAATACATTCAAATTGCTATTGGTAATGATACCCATTGGAACAGTCATTATGAATGTTTTTGTACGTTGATTAAATCAAAAAGTAGCATTAAGGGTGAATGTTGTATTTATTATTTTTTAAATATGTATACAAATTATTTTAAATTGTAATTAATAATTTTTATAATAATAATAAAATAATGACTTTAGGTTCAATGTATGAACCCCACACAGGATCATCATCATATCGTAGACCTGATGAACCATTATATCTTCCTGCTAATATATCTTCAATTTTACTAGATGAAGACTGGTGGCTTTTACTTTCAAAACTAGTATTGGTACTTAAACCATATTGTATAATATTAGACATTTTGCAGAGAGATAAAGCAAGGCTGCATGAAGTTTTGGGTGGTTTTGGATATTTTGTTGAATTTTGGAAAAAATATGATGAATCAGAGCTCAGAGAAAAAATGCTCAATCGTCTTCAGTTGAGATGGCAAAATTGGGAACAACCATTATTGCTTCTTTCATGGCTCTTACATCCTAATTACCAAATGAAAAAATTCAAAGAAAATATCCCAAATTTAAATCATGTTTATCTTAGTAAATGGTTAATATATTATTATGAGGCTTGGTCAAATATGAAGTCACAATCAATTTTACGGGAATATGAAAAATTTAGGAAAAAACAATATCCTTTTGATGAAAATACAATAAATCAATTTAATGAAGACATATTAGATTTTTGGGTGTGGGTTACTCCAACAGCAAAAGAACTTGGATATGTTGCTCAACGTGTTTTTGGGATCTGTGTTAATGCTGCATCAGTTGAAAGACTGTGGTCATGTATGGGTTCACTTCAAACAAAACGAAGAAATAGATTAGATGTAAGTAATTATAAATATGTACAATTTTTATAATTTTATTATTCTGATAAATTTTTCATTTAATATATATAGTTCAAAAAAGCTATCAATATGAGCAAATTACATGCTTCAATTAAATATCAATGTAAAGTTAATGAAGTGGAAGCTATTCGTAAACAAAAATCAACAGAAAACATTGCTGGTCCAATAGATTTAGAAATAAGTGAAGAAAGTTCCACAGATATCCAAGAATTAAATAATAACAGTGAAGACAATTTAGAAGAGGAAGAAGAAACAAATGATGTATCTGATTGGAATAGATTAGTTAGTGAATGGGAAAATTTGTTACTTCGAGAAGAGGTGGATGATTTACTTTCCACAGATAGTGATGATGATGAATTTGAAATAAATGAGTTATTATTGAATCAAACTCATCCTGCATTAGACAATGTAGCAAAATGGCAAATAACTGATATTTTTGTTGAAAATTTAGAAATACCATTTTTTATTGAAGATTAATATTGTATTAAGAAAATTTTTTAAATAAAATATAATTATATATACACAAAAGAAAAATGTCACGTGTTTATAGATTTTTGGCCAAAACGGCCACAGCCAAAAACGGCCAAACGGCCAAATGCCAACACTGCTTAAACAATATAGTGCAGGACATCTATAACGGTCAATGATTATCACATGATTTTAAAAGCTTATAACTCCTTATTAAAAAAAT